TTGGAAGACATCCTCATAGCTGTCCAACAGCTCAATGATGCATGGGTCCGACGTATCCGTCTTGGGATGATCACCGGGTGGGAGGGCGTGAAAAACATATGTCCATCTCCTCGATGTCGTTCCGCCGGATGGATTAGCGAATGCTCGCCGCGGAGACCACATGACAACCAATCGAAGGATGAGGAAGCGGCACCGTACACGGGACTAGTTCGCCACGCCGATCACGAACGTGAACGATGCGCAATAGAAGTTCACCGGATGGTCTTCGCTTTGCAGCCACGACATGCCCAAGATCATATCGAACTTGGTGTCCAATATGTCGAATGACACGGCCTCGCATGCTACCGGGGCAAAGTACACGGGTACCGAGTCAACGCATCGATCGATTGACTTTTGTGTGTGACCATCGGCCAACGTGACGTGCGTAGGCTGACTTTTCCTTCGAACGTGCGGGCCAAGCCTGGTGCGTGCCATGAAGTCTTGGCTGATGTTGTTGCGAGTCGCTCATGTATGCCGTGAATATGTGAATGGGCAACCGCAATCCTAATCTTACCCAGTGTACATGTGTGCACCATCACCCACAACTCGGTAGTGTTCGCAAGAAACCATGCATTGTGGAGCAAAGTGCCAAGCTGCAAATTTTGGTAGCATATCTCCGTCCAACCGCCATGGTGCCCAGATCAATATCCTGGAGTTCAAAACCCAAGTGCCATGAGAAAGCTTTCGGTAGAATATCTCCGTCCAACCGACTCCAACGTTAATATACCACACCGGCTTTGCAACCCTCGGTCACCCCAAGATAGCGCTAAATTTTGAGCAGCCAAAGTCGGGACAAAACACAATCATGTGGACATTCAATCATCATTATTTCCACAAATTGCTGCTGAGCTCACCTCAGAAGGTAAGTTCTCTTCTTCTTGTTTTTCTTCTTGTTTTCATCCTCTTTTTTCACTACTGCTCTCAGTGACATCACCGCTCCAATGAAAGTCGAGAAACGGGAACAAACAATGCATCGTCATTCTTATCCTGAAATCAACCAATGACAACTTTATATGTATGCGCATTTCAAAGTAAACGGCCTAGACTTTTCAGCATTTTCCTCCTTGTAATCATCACTCAAAATCATGATCATCATCACTACCGTGATTTTTGAAATCTATAGTGCGCAACACAACCCCGTTCATATCCCTGCCAGGCAGAGGGGTAGGGGGAGGGGGAAGAAATGGGTTTTTAGTTGCCTGAATCAACCTGGGGACATGCTCCCATTCCGCCTCCGCACAGCTGCCCTACTGGGCAACCCCGGTAGCCTAGCTGTAGACATTTTTCAACGAGCTTACGAACTTCCTACAAGTACACAAATACTATCCCCAGCGATCCAGCACAGGCTACCATGCCACATCCTCAGGCTAGCATCTCAGCCCCAAATCTGTTGGCGTTATCATGGGTCATGTAGGAAGCCAGGCATTGCACCCTACACTACTGCCAACACAGTCAAGGTTCGATGCAGCAGCAGGGACCTCCCACCCTCTTTTTCCCAACGCAGATTTGCACTGTTGCACGCCAAGGAAAACGAACCACCAGCACGCTTTTTCCTTTGTGGCCATGTTGGTCCGGTAGCACGGTTCATTTGAAGAACAGAAATCAATGCAATTTCGATCCTCAAGTTTGCCTGGGCTAGGTACACTTCTTTTTTCCTTTTTTCGCTGGCGATGCCAGCCATGTTGGTCCGGTACCACTGTTCATTCAAAGAACCCCGATTGATGCAATTTCCATTCCGGGGGTCAGGGCGGCTAGTAAAAGACTGAGCATTATGCCATATAGTCTGAACTTCGTGGCGGCACGAAGGAGGAAGGCATCGGTTGAAATGATCTTCGAAGTTCATTTCAATTCACACAATTGTGTCGCGTAAGTAGCGACCTGCACGAATGGTGCAACTGCCCCGCTGTCCCCAACATGGGCTCAGTGAAATTGAATTCTCCGTGAAGATGTGGAGTACCAGCGGCTAGACGGTAAGACCCCGTGCACCTTTACAGGTGTGCCTCCCATCTACTTCCCCCGCTCCCATCGAGTACCGGCAGTATCTAACGCCAACACTCACCCACACTCCACACACAACCCACTCTTTTGGCTGAGGGTCAATCAGAAATCGGAAATTCATCATTTAATTGAAAAAAAAAAGGAATCCTGTTGCACCTTCAAGGAATATGAGTGTGAACGATATACAGAAAACCAAGTTGCGAAATCACACAGATATCCAAGTAGTCGTGTCCAAGCAGAGAGTACAATGCACCGAGAAACCATCCATATAGAGCAATACAATGAAGTATTGAGCCAATGTCCAAGCCCGTAGGCCACACCAACACAGTATCCAAAGTCGCTCCTCTATGTCTGGCGCCCAGCGCCCAGCCTACTCTACCCGACTATCCTACCTACAGCTGTGTTCACGCAACAGGCTCACTTGAACTCTCGAAGACCAATGTACATGTTCACGCAACAGGCTCACTTGAACTCTCGAAGACCAATGTACATGACTGTCAACACCATAGCCCACCTCTCTTCATGCACCAGGTACGTATCTCGTCACTCTCAATCAGACCTTGATACCCCCACTCTCGACTCCTTCCCTGAAGACCACTAGATCACCCGCCTTACCCCCTTGGCGCCCAGCAGCCCGGCTATGGCTGCCTGCGCCCCGCTGCCCTGCAGCGCCCCACTTCACCTCTACGCACCCAGTCAGCGCCCTTGGCCGCAGCGCAGCATCAAGCAGTAGCGCCGCAGCACTTCCGCATTGCCTACGCAGGCCAGAATGCCTGGCCTGGGCTGCCTCACTTCCTATATGGAAGTGGCAGCCTTCTGGATGCTGTGTGTGGCCTGGCTGGAAGCTTCCAGTAGCTTCCGGTTGGGCCTCAGACCCTGCACCCAGGCCCGAGACTACAGTTGAGGGCCTGGGCCTCTTTATAGTTGGGCACGGCCTGAGTCTCCGGACTTGGGCTGTTTGCTGCATCCGTGCAGGGCTCACATGTCGGTGCATCGACAGTACTGCTTTTGCCTAGGCCGATTGCCTGCTTCTCAATGTCTCGGCCCTGCTTTGTGTGTATATGCCCAGACGCAACTGTCAAGGCCTGGGCCAACTGTACAACGCAGCTTAGTGGGGCTCACGTGTCCACTCAACCAACTGGCGCGCGGCAAGAGCCTGAATACCCACATCTGAAAGTGTCAAATTTTTGGCCTTTGACAAATATTCACGCCTGCCTTCACTTAGGGCGGGCACTTGGCTTGCTGGGGGCCTTTGCCCAGAACATGTGATGTCTGATAGGGCCCCGTGAGGGCTTGTTCCTCGCACACCCCTTTCAAGCCCGTTTATACCCCACAGACTCACTAACATAAGAAGACGTAAACAAATTCAAAGGTCAGGCCGGATTTGGGCACATCTCAGTGGGGGCACAGAAATGCCCCCCTGCCAATGCTGCCATCAGTTTTTTTAACTTTTTTTAACTTTTTCGTTTTACCATCTTTTTGGCTTGCACGGGTGATCCAGGCTGTACTGGTCTGGGTGGACCGGCCGGCCAGGTGATCCCGAGCCTTTCTGGTACCCCAGGCGACATGGCCATGTTGGTATGTTACTATGTTGTAAATGTTAGAAAAAAGAATTCATTTGAGGCTTTGCTCATTGTATACACAGTGTAGCGGAGAGAGAGAAAGCCAAGGACCTGTTATTACCAAAGATGTGACCTATGTGCCTACCTTGAGTACACAAGTTTTGGCTTGCACCGTTAACCATCTAAAAGCAAAATCAGTGCTATTTGTGCTCTGGGAGGTTGCTCTCACTGAGGAGGGAGGTGCTATTCGTGCTCTAGGACGTCGTTCTGACTGGTGTGGTAGACCTGCTGTGCGTGACGGTTTCATTTTTTTTCTGCCCCGCACATAGTCAGTACCTACACGTCCGTCCACACATTCATGATCTGCCACAGCCACCTGCCCACTTTGGCTGGGCACTGGGCGGGCGCTCTGACGTTCATTGTACCTTTGAAATGCACACCGCTGTTCACGCCTGTCAACAACTGTTCTTGCCACTCTTATCTCCACACTCATGTCTACCGTTCAGATGTCTCGGCCTGACTTTTTCGCGCTGGTAATGGGCCTCACTCCACTACTCTCGACATGTGCAAAACGAGAGTGGATCTTCCGCCAGGACATGGAAAGATACACCACCATGATTTTTATCGTTTGTGAATGTCAAGAGTAGTGGAGCGAGGCCCAACCCAACCTCTCCTTGGGATTCTTGAGATCGCAGCGACCCTTCAGGAGAGGCAGTTAACGACCTGAAAGTGGGGGTCCCCGGTAACCACTTGTGGAGCTGAGTCCTTGCTGGTCGCTTTTGGGTCGGTTGCCAATCCCTCCTCCAATTGATTCTAGTTGTACTGAATATAAGCTCCCTGACTCAGCCAAATTCTTGGTCTACCAGGCTCTGCCCTCCATTTTTTCAGTTTTTCCAGTTGAGGGGTGCTTTCGCGTCGAGTCGTCAGCCACTGTTGTGAATTTTGGATTTCTATCTCTGCCGAACGACGGACACTACTTTCTAACCGAGGACAAGGACCCTGAGGTTTCACTGAGAGCAAAAAGAGAAACGTGCACGAAATCATAGACGATAAGCAGAAGACTGGGTCAGTAGCTGAGGAGGACAAAGAAGCACGCCTGCGAACAACAAACGGAAATGGAGGGCAGATCCGGAAAAGGTGAAGATGAGGTGGTGGCTGGAAGCAGAAATAGACTTGGCAGCTGTGCATGCGGATGAAATCCGTGGCTCTACGCGAAGACAAGGCAGTAGCTGAAGGCAGAGAACACGAGATTTGCGGCCGAAGGCATCACAAGCGGCTGAAATCAGACATCCACCCTACCGGGATGCAGACAGTTCCTGAAAAAAAACGCTTTGCAAAAGGCATCTTGCTTATTATGAGTACTTCGATGACAACAATAGGAACCAGAAAAGGTGGTCTCACATCGTTACGGAAATGCATAGTTGGATTTGCACTTTTTGTTGCCGGGGTAGCATCCGATTGCCGCCGTATAGACAGTGTCCCACTCCCAAGATTGCGCCAAGATTTCGATACCTGCAATGCAGTCACCAGCAGACACAATTACATCGTCGTAAGAAACAGACGACCATCTCTGCAACGCTAACCATGTTCGATTCTGCACACAGCTCATTTCAGTCAACAACTGCATTGTGCACATAGAAGACACACAAAAAGACGGAGAGCAGAACAGAGAGAAGAGACAAAAAGAAAAAACAATAAAACCAGAACAGGCGAAAGTCAGCCACACATATGTATGCAGATGAAGATAATAATCTACAGAAGATGTCAAAAACCACCAAAACAAGTACTTGAGGACATCCATGGAATGATACAGAAAAGATTAGCATTGCCCCTGCACAAGGACAACACGCACAAATCGGGAAATCGTCCAAGATGTTAAAAGACAGGGGGGGGGGGGGAAGCAAACAATCCTGATATATTTAATTAATTCCCATCATGCACTGCAATCCATTGTTCGCGCACCAGAAGCTATTCAGATCCTGCAACGTCAGTCAGAGGGGCATAGCAGGCAGGAGTGGCACTTGAAAAGGTCAATCAGAAGATGGAGTACAAGGCAGGCCAGAGGTCCATGGGTCTCAGCGCACAAGGAATACCAGAGCACTATAGACAGCAAGCTCTTCCATCCCAAGTCATGGGTCTCAGCACACAAGGAATACCAACTCCTCTTCTTTTCCTCTATTTCCCTCAGCAGGTTTGGGGGCAGGTATCTACACAAGTGGGCAAATACAGATAGAAGAGAGCGAGCAAAAACTCCTAATGGAATCAAACATGCCCAGTTTCAAACTCTCCAAGCCATGTCCATTCCAACCAAAAAAACTTCAGAACTAGCTTAAATTGACCAGGTCTCCAACCAAAGCTGAATTAATCCAGCCACAGAAACCCAGGCTGAACATCTCCGTAAAACCTTTCAGAGGCAAACGTTAAGTCCTGAATATAACCTATACAGCATTCTTCCGAGGCTGGGCGCTACCAGACCAGAACAGCTGGTGGCGCCAGCCAAAACAAAAGAAAAAAGGTCGCACTGGTGCTTCGGCCAAGCTTGGCGCACAGTTCTACTCCTCCTCGGCAAAAAGAGGCTTGGAGGTACTGGTGGTTACAGGGCGAAATCATTCAAAAATAGGGCAAAAAGACAACAGAAATGAGACTGACCCCATCCATTCTTAGAAGAACCGCCTTTCTCGAGTCTACAATTGTCACGCCCTCCTCTTTGACTGCCAGCACAGACGGACCTTCATCCTCTTGCTCTTCAGTCCCGTCATCGTTATCATCATCTCCTGCAGAGTTGTTCATCACCAAACGCACTAAGACACACATAGGAACTCGTCCTCAAATACTCTTTTTTTTCGACATTCATAAAGTTTGTTTCTCCGCATGCAATAAGGAAGCCTATCTCAGTTGGTAGAGCACATAAGTGGCATTCAGGAGGTTGTGGGTTCAACCCCCCGCATCATCCATTTGACTCCCCCCCCAAGGTCCCCTGTGGTGCACTTCCAGTTCACCAGCTGAGATAGTTCGCTTGCGCCCCCTGGTTGGTGTTGGTGGAGGATGCCCTCCCTCCCATCCAGTGCTAGGGGTTAGGTTCAACCCTGATGGGGTGGGTTCAACCCTGAGGGGATGGCTCAATCCTGCAGGGCCAGGGGAGCTGGGAACCCATAACTCTCAGCATCCATCTTACACAAACAGTGCAACAACAGAACAGAATTCCTGGGTGCTTAGCTGGTAGCTCGTGCGGTTGTTTCAATATTGAGAGAAGAGAATAGTGTAGGGAAGCTGTCCCCCGTATGAGGCGCCGATAGGAAACCCCACTTGAAAAACCATGCTGGTGAAAAACACAGGCAATTCCTCTTCAATACCATCCAAATTCTGTAACAGACACATCAGAGGCATCAAGGTTCTTCTGCGTACAACAAACGTAATCCGGAAGCAAGGAGTGACACTGACAAAAGCATCTGACCCGCTGCCGCAATGCGTGTGCTGTACCAGTTGGAGCCACAGACATTACTCCACGCCAACATAGCCTATCTCCACATGATGTAAAACAACACTAAAGAAATCAGTCCTTCGGATGATCTATTCAAAGGATTGGAACCATACAGAGAAAGAAGATTAGCATGGCCCCTGCACAAGGATGACATGCATAAAACGAGAAATGGTCCAAAAGAGGGGGGCGGGGGGGGGGGAATTGATTATTATAAAATGAGAGGAGGAAGGAAAAAGTACAAGTCATGAGACGAGAAATGCCTTCACCAACCACACCTACCGTCTTCACCCGAATATAACGCCCCATCATTATAGCTGTATTTGGCACAACTTTCAGCATAGATACGGCGATAATTACCGGGCGTTCTATTCGGGTGGAAGACGGTAGCCACATCGAGCAGATGCAAGGTTCACAGTTCAGACTAGACATAGTTCAGGGCAACAAAACCGGAATTGTGATTTGAGTTCTGAGAGTAGGCAGCCCCTATAGACAATACTGAATTCAATCCATCAGAATTCCATCAGGACTCGAGCTCATGACCTGTCCACTAACGGTTCATGCCTGAACCATTTCCACCAGAATTATCAAACATGAATTACAACTTTTGTGGCACTTACAACTTTTGTGGCACTTACAACTAGCCTTTTTTAGTTATAAAAAAAAAAAAGAAAAAAAAAAAAGGAATTCCTGGATGTTACCAACGGGCTTATCTCAGTTGGTACACCCATGAACTGTTGAAATAGAGCCCCAAGTTTGAATCCACGTGCATCAGATGAACAGAATAAAATGATTCTCATCTAAATTCCCAGGGGTCGGTCCGTTCAAGGCCGGCGCCCTTCTTCTAAGACAGAGTAGGAAGGGGGAAAAAAGTAAGAGGAAAAGCAATCCATGGGTGTCCTGAAACAAGAATCCTCGCACTCGTCGCCTTCCAGCGGTGAACGAAAAATTTCCGTACAAGTTGATAAAACCCTTGATGCAACCATGTTTCACATAATTAACACACCAGAAAACTTCTCACACCGGCCCTCCCTCAAGGCAACGGATCTTACCTTGCTCCTTGGGAGCCTCTTCTTTGCTAGGACCTGCAGTTGCTATGAAGGGCCCAGTCTTGAAGGCTGAGCGAAATGGACTCACTGATGCAGAGTTTGGAGAAACTGGCGCAACTGGTGATGCTGCTCCTGAGATCACACTCGTCAAGACATTTCCATCCGAGTGTGAACTAGGAGGCATGCCAAAAATAGTTGCAGTGTCACCGATGGAGTTTGCAGGCATGCTGGAAAGCGGCCAGCTCGTGCTTAAACCAAACGTGGAGCTGAAAGAAGATCCCGTAGCCGCGTTGGCCACTAACCCAGCTCCAGATCCCGATGCTCTGCCGAATTCTGATGAGCCTGGACCACTTGACCATCCCTTCCCAAAAATGGGATGGTTGACCGCAGTTTGACTTGTTGGTGCACCTGAAACAGAAGTCTTTGTTGAATCTGAGGGTCTTCCTGCTGCTGACTGGCCCCCATAGTCTACTGTAGGTCCTTTCTGGTATCCTGCAAGTGGACCTGCTTGTTCCCAGGGTCCACTTTCAGCACCAGCCCCAACACCTGCACCAGGTTCTCGCCTTAACAAGTCGCTTGGGGCAGTGGCCAAACTTCCGCCAAAGCCATGTCCTAAGACTGCCTTGGTGTCTGTCAAGGGACCAGGACCCAAGTTCTCGGACACAGTGGCTGCCGTACTGGTCCCGGTGCCTGGTGCCAACGTTCCACCCAAGCCAGCAGGGCTGCATGATGAATGAGCAGCCGCATTAGGCACAGGTGGTCCACCCATAGCCGATCCCCCAATGACATCAATCGACAAAGCAGAGCTGGACACGGTCCCCATAGCAGCCATGCCACCCGCCACTCTCTGATTCTGTGATATTTCCCCAACCGCTGTAACAGCTGAAACCCCCCGCTCTGCAGACGACAAGACTATTCCATTCGGTTCAGCTTCTCCATTAACCGACCTGCTTCCGGGATTTGGTTTGGACCGTAGCCATTCCACAACATCCTTGAAATCGTCCTGCCAAATGCATGGACACAAAAGCATAGATGCAAACTGTCAGGATCATCTCTCTCTAATACCACGCAAAACTTTAATAAATGTGGAGCAATACCACCCTCCACACAGCCTAGAACAGAATTCTGGATGACCTGTTACGGCTCCACTTGCAAACAAAGTTAACAACGGATGATGGATGATGCATTGGCGATGGAAGAGACTGACCCGGTCATTTGTCCCCTCCAATGTCTCTGTCTCTGTCTCTGTCTGTGTGTGTGTGTGTGTGTGTGTGTGTGTGTGTGTGTGTGTGTG